CTGAGACTCCCATGTATACATTGCACACCCGAGAAAGGTTTGCAGCTACTTCGTGACGTGACACGCAAACCAGAGCATGTGGCACCTTCAACCTCAAATCTGCGACATTCCAACAAAAAGGTGAGGTGCGGCATGACCGAGATAGTTTCGGCGGGTCGCGGCAGCTCGTGATCATAAGTCGGGCTCCGATCCAGCCGAAACGTGCAAGGTGTGAACACTTCGCACGGGGCTGCAGACTGGTGCTCGCGTTTAACGGTCTTGTGACTTTGTCGCGGAGACGCTGAACCTGGCAAAACTTCAGAAGCCTGACCCCAAAACCCCCAAACTGCGCCAACAAGTCGGGAGGTAGACAGGAGGATGGATGTATATAATGTAAGGGTCTTAAAAATTAGAATAGGCTTTTTGGCCACTATTTTGCTGTATGTTTCTATTAAGGCACCGTAAGAAATAAACTGGTAACTATCTAGGCTTCTATAGTACACACTGTTCTTGCTCCTGAACCGTCTCTAGGCACGTGGCTTCGATGGTAACTGTCAGCACGACTGGTGATTGCAGCGTTCTAAACTTCAACCAAGCTTTCGTCTAAACTCCAAACTTCCCCGATACCCCTAACCCTAAACCTTATAAACCCTAAACCCTTCAGCCCTAAACCCAGACTGGAGATGGATCCTTGCAGAGCGCCGGGCCAGACCGGAGTCCGAGAAGTCGCGGCCAAAGGCCGCCAAAGCCATGTCCAAAGCTTCGGAAAGCTAGGGGTTTAGGGTTTAGGGTTTTAGGGTTTAGGATTTAGGGTTTAGGGAAGGTTTAGGGTTTGGGGTTTGGGGTTTAGGGTTTAGGGGCTGCTATAGGACCCTAAATCGTAAATTGGGTAGTAAGGTATCTCCAGAGCTTCGAAAAATGGGGCGACCCTAACATAGGACGCTGAAATATAGCATAATAGGATCCTTCTGCAAAGGGCACAGTGTACCCCAGTTTTCCGAAACGGGTTTCCGCAGAGACGGCAGACGAGGCAAACCAACAAATTCCCCCAGCCCTGCAACCGAAATCGAGACAAAGAGAGATAGACTCGCGAGAGGAGCGAGCCAGAGACAAAGGGATAGGGAAATCAAAGGGAACTGCTGTCACTCCGGCCCGTCAAACCAGCATCCGGCTACTAGGCCTTGAAGCTATTGCTGTGATGACTATCGTTACCACCATACATCTTGGGTCATGGGACATGGCTTCCTTATCCTAAACCCTAAACCCTAAACCGATCATCCTGGCTTCTTTTGTCATTGATGGCGGTTCGTGGAGCCGGAGCTGAAGACGGAGTTGCGAACCTGCTCCCATCGCTGAATGGCTTCCTGAAGCAGGGTATAGGGGTTTAGGGGTTTAGGGGGTTTAGGGGTTTTAGGGTTTAGGGGTTTAATACAGGGGCCTGAAGAATTCGCTCAGAACTTGGCGTGGTCCTTAAGATTTGCATGTACACACAGACAGACAGACAGACAGACAGACAGACAGACAGACAGACAGACAGACAAACGGACAGAGCAGGCAGGCAGGTGAGCGTGTGTATGAAAGCATGCCGGCAAGCTTGCAGCACGCATATGGACAAACAAGTGTAACCATAACAACAAATTTGTGTATGTCTGTCTGTCTGTCTGCCTGCCTGCCTGCCTGCATGTATGTATGTATTCGTGCATGTATGTATGCCTCTATATATATATATTACATACATAAAAACATATGCATGTATAAGTGTATACAGTAGATATGATATAACATGTGTAGATATATACACATGTATGCATATGTGTGTATACATTTATTTATGCAGACATACATGCGTACATACACCCATGCAAACATACATACATACATACATACATACATACATACATACATACATACATACACACATACATACATGCATACATAACACAACATAACATAAATGTACATGCACGCCTTTGTGTGCATATGTATGTATGTATGTATGTATGTACGTATGTAGGTATGTATGTATGTATGTATGTATGTATGTATGTATGTGAGTTTAGCTATCTATCTTTCTTCAACCTGTGAACCTATCTGTTTCTATGTGTGTAGTCATTGTATAGGTACAGGTGTGTATGTATACATGGTGTATATGTCGTTCAAGCTGGTACTAGTACTAGTACTAATTCTAATTCCTGTGCTGTTAGTTACTACGACTACGACGACGACGACGACGAGGACGAGGAGGAGGACGACGACGACTACCACTACTACTATCAATATGGCTGCTACTTCTGTACTTCTCCTCCTCCTCCTCACCCCACCACCACCACCACCACCACCGCCACCACCACCACCACCACGACTACTGCTGCTGCTGCTGCTGCTGTTACTCCTACGTGTGCTTCTACTCCTGCTCCACCACTACTGACCACTACTACGACGTTCATGACGATAACTAAACTGCAAAAACGGCACACCTCAGAGACCCCGAAGATGTTCTCCCTTTTCGGAGGCAGCGGGTATAGTGCCACTTAGCTAAAAGCTTACACCCACAATTTCAATCATACAGGTTGAATGACTTCGCTCGATTTGAGGTTTGGGATACCAGGAGTCTGCTTTAATCCTACAACACTTTGATGAAGACATATCTTTAAACCGTAGCAATCATAGCAGGGGTCCTCCATCAGGGTTCTTAAGTCAGGCATGCTGGAGTTTCTGGCTAGGGCCTGCTCTTGACAGCTTGTCTGCTGAGGCCTCAAACCAAAATGCAGCGGAAGTTCGCTGACGCGCTTGCTAGATGATCGCATCTCCTCGTCCTCCTGCTGCTTGTCCTGTCTTGTAGGGGCTGTTGCCATGTCAGGGTGATGAAGTACTTCACAATCAATAGTACATAACAGTGGGATGTACGTATACCTGCCATCGCAACATTCATGCCATGCTGCTGGAATAGCAGCTACCTTGTTGCGTGAGGCAAAAAACCAGGAAAAAAAAAACATGTCAAACTAATGTCGGGTGCATGGCGTCAAGACCGTCAAGAGATGAGGATCTTGATTGGTGCAGGCTGAAATAACGCTAACAGGATGACGAAAGAAAAATAAACTGAACCAAAAAGTTTTATGGGGATTTGTACAATAACACTCACACACGGTTGAGAGTTGTTACACAAACACTCACGACGGTCTGGTGCCTAGCAGTGTCTCCTGTGTCTTGAGGCCTAGGAAAGCAAGCCGCTAAAGCCTACTCCATTAAACATCACACCACACAAACCCTAAATCCTAAACCGTAAGGAGCTCGGTGTATGCTTTGAAGTGCACTCAAATTCCACATACCACGCACGTCAACAGCATACCCTGAACCACAAACAAGTCCTGAAATGCTCACTGCTAAGCAGCCTTGCATCAAACCCCAACCCCTAAACCCTAATTCCTAAACACCGATTCCCAAAGCCCTCAGAATCCTCAAACCCCAAGCGCTATATAATATAGTACACAATATACTCGAATTAATGTACTATACCATACTATAAAACCAAAAAATAAAGCCGCGAAAGCCTCGCGCGACTAAAGGATCTTCCGGCTCTCAGGGCCCACTGCACCCGTGTTTGTCCGGTTTAGGGCTTTTTTTCCCTCCCACTTAGCCAGGACGAGCCCGCATTGCAGGGTAGTTCAGGTAACAGAGGCAGCAGAGTTGGCCACAATTCCCGGTTTAGGGCTTAGGGCTTAGGGTTTAGGGATTTGTCTTCCTGCAGCTGGGTTTTCGGTCCGCGGGCCTGTAGGGACTGGGGCTGCTTACCGTTGCATCCACTCGCGCAGGGACCGCAATGGTGGAGTTAAGGCTTTTGGTCATGAAGGCTTTCGGCGGGTAAGTGTAAAGTTTCGGAGCCTATCTCAGTGTCCTACGACTCCTGCAAAAAGGTTGCTCGTTGGGAAGTCCTGGCTGGGTAGCTTCGAAGGCCATGGCGCAGGGGTGTTCGTGGGGGAGGAGGCGGAGGCGTGGCGGGGCGGAGAGGGGGTGAGGGGGGGGGGGGGAGGCGGTTTACGCTCTCACAACTCGGACAAGCCAGGCGAGGTTCATGGGGGAGGCGGTTTAGGGTTTGGGGTTTGGGTCCTGGATGTATTCCACATACTGGTCCGGAAAGATGTGACGAAGGAATTCGTTGTAGTCGACCTCGACAGCGGATTCAAGAGTTAAAGCTTGAAGCTTACCTTGGAATTTAGGATTTAGGGCAAGCCTCCCACTCACAAGAGTTCGCATTCTAAAGTTGCGATGCAGGCGACACACAAGGGTCACCACAAGTTGCAAGCGCACCGCAAGAGTTGCTATAAGGGTTATGCAAAGGCTATGATATAGAAAAAAGGTGTGTATATATATATATATACATACATACATACTTTTACATTCTTTTGACGAGAGATCCAGTAACAAGCGCAGCTGCTAATCCGCTGTGGTCGTCATCAAAGAGCATGAAGAGATCGACGGCACTGTCCTGGGGTGGTCTTTAAGTCTAAACTTCAAGGGCTTCCTCGCCAAATCTGGATCCCAGAACTCTCATCATCTAACCTACAAGCACCGACTTCGACTGCCGAACATCGCCCAGACTTACATTTCGAAGAAACCTAGTCCCTGAAACCCTAAACTCCCTAGAGCCCTAGATGGAGACGCCCAGAGTCGGCCCCCGAAGGCCCATCTGAGTCATGTAGGAATTTTGACATTCCGCAAAATCCCTCTCTCTATCGCATCCAGCTCTGCGCGCGCATGCAATGTATACGCGCATTGTTGTATCAACTTACTTTGCCGGTGCTGTTTTGAGTCTTCCCGTGGGCCCCTCACAACTTCGATGGAACCCTGCACTGGGAACAGGCCAAGGGTGTGTTTTGCTTTTTTGGGGGGGAGGCGGGTAGTTTCTTGTTTGCTGTTGAGATCTGAACTCTTAATGTTTGGTGCCCAGGAAACTTGTTCAAGCTTCTTGCCCTGAGCCCTAAGCCAAACAAATCAAGACTATTGTGCTATCGCCCAGTCTCCGAGGTAAGTCCTATTCTCATCTGCCGGATCAGCTCGATGAACTCTGGCAAATTCAATGTTCCGTCCTAGTTGGCTTCAGGCTCAGCGAGCTGGAACTTGGCATGAGTTTCGAATTTACCATTATCCGGTTCGAGTTTGAGAGATTGGCGAACTGAGTCCAGGGACACGCACTCTCTCTACAAGCCTTGCCTGCTCATGTCCTGCACGGCTTACAGTATAGAATGGAATGGACACGAAAGGACGAAGTAGAACTACCCCAGCATTGACCAACAGCCGAAACAAATTCGCAAAGCCTCGAATTAGCAGACCAGATCCTGTGGGCGCACAGCTGGAGGGAGGCCCTTCAATTGCAGGCTGGGGAAGTCTTACCTGCCTTAACTCACACCTGACATCCAGTCGGGCCAATAAAAAACGTTTGGAGACATCGTCACTGCACTTCTTGCAGACGCATTGACAATACCGCATTCCGGTGAGTAGCAGAGGCATGCCACTCACCTGACAAAAGCCTGAATAGGTAGAAAACCTCCTTCATAGAGTTCCACATCATAAAGTATAGTTCTTCAACGCCTACCACTAAGGCTACCATTTCTGTTTCTGCACGCAATTGAAATTTCAAGCTCCTGGTTGCAACCGCCCAGGTGGCTGCTTCTGTCACCGGTGAGCTTCAGCAATGTTTACTCCAACCATCGTGACGTCTTCTCCATTTCGACGGCTGCCGACTGTTGTGTCTGCACAAGATGTGTAAAGCTGGCAGAGGGCTGCAATAATTCAGGGGAGACGCTCCGTCTGCATCCACGTACCTGGGGCAGCGTGCACTTCCCCTGTGGTTTGTCGTGTAGCAAATCCAACCGACAACGGCCGAGGTTAGGGACCCACCTAAAGCATCACCTCGACAAGCAACAACAATGAAGAGCAACAGGCAGCCCGACACAGTGCCAATAGCATTGATGAGCTCAGGTAGAGGAACCCTTTGGACCCTACATAAACTACTGTGAACTCCAGGGGTCGCAGGAACTCATCTTTCGACCTGATCGGGCCTAAAGAGAAGCCCAGCCAGGAGGCTCCACCAGAATCTTCAGGTCTTTGATGGTGTAGCCCCACCTGGGGACAAAGAGGGTCAATATATGAGGGATCAATGTCGCGACGGGGAGGCACGACATCGGCCTGACGCATGCGAACCTAGCAAGCTTTTGCTGAAATCGGCAGCCCTAGCCGAAAGCCGAACTCTGAGAAAAGCCCACCGAAAACGTCCCGCTCACCCAACCCGAACCCTAGAAAGCCGATGCCAATCCCGAAATCCTAAACCCCCAACCCCTCAATACTCGCTGAGCCACTTCACCAGGCACTTCCGTACTCTGTTCATCAAGAGAACTTGTGCTCGGCTCTCCCAGCAGGCAGTAAAGACGTGTCCTATGATACCTGACGCTGCGCGGTGTAGGGGAAAACCGTGTTGGGATTCAATCGGCTGCTGGCTTTTACAGAGCTCCTTACTAAGCTTTTGTTTAAAATAGGGTTTTCTTTATAGTGGCTTAAACGGGTACAAGAAGGTTCCCAAGTCAATCATTCGGGTTCCTGTAAGGGTCTCGGTAAGGGGGCCTTAAGCTCTAGGATTCCAAAAGGGCTCTAAGTGTACATTATTCTGAAGCTCCTGCATAAACTTTGAATAAACGCTTATTGTGGAATGTGGTCTCTTGGGGAGGGGGGTCCGAGTTGTGTGAATGGCTTGAATAGCATTTGGGACTTCCTTCGGCCGCACCAGACGGCGAGGACTCAAAAAAAAGGCCAGGCACACACAGCATAAAGGGGCATCAACTACTACATTGTTTTGGGGGCAAAAGGAAACCTCACTCACACAGCGCTTACAAGGCTCAGGGTTGCTCAGGGAAAACAAGAGCCATGCTAGATCCCAGGAACCTCAGTTGTGCAAGATCCCGGCGATCCAAACCCGTAACCCAACTCCGACTTGACGAAACAGGACTAAACACTCCTCATGACCCTGATCCAGACCCTTACATGGGTAGTTCTCTAAATTAGGGTCCCTTTTGGGTCCCCCAAAATAGTAAGGCACCCTTGTAAAAAAGAGCCTAAAAGGGCCTACCCACATAATCTGCTCCCAAGAATAACGACCCCAGAAGAAACCCACCAAAAATGTTCCGAGACCCTCCAACCGTGCCGGGCCCCGCCTTATGGATGCTATCCACACTCACCGCCCCCAAACCCGAAATCCTATCAAGAGAAAAGCCAATGCTTCGGTGCTGGGTGAGGAGGCTTCTGTCAATTAGCGTTTAGGGTTTAGGGCTCAGGAATAAAGATGTCAAAACTCGTCTCCGGCTTTTGTGCCCAACTCGATCGGGGTAGGTGGGGCAAGCGTCTCGTGTTGAGGGAAGCAGCCTGAGACTAAGGGCATGACGGGTATCTTCAAGCCTTAGAGAAACAGTAGGGCCCGGTAGGGTTGGGCAGCCCTCCCGTGTGTCAAAATCAACCAGTTGATTCATTTTACAACTGCTTGCGAAGGTTCTATCGGCTACTGCGAACCCAGCTCACACACCCCGCATATTCAGCCCGGCTGCCGACGGGTAGAGCCAGAAAAAGGACGCTGACACCGGTGAGCGTCGCAACCACGAAATAGCCACCTTTTCAGTAGTTTTTTTTTTCTTTTTTTGTGGTGTGTGTGTGTTTGTGTGCATGTGACGAGATTGCAAAAGCAGCAGCAAAATACACGACCCAGGAAGCGAAACCGCGCTAAACCCCCCGGAAAGCCTACTTGTCACGGCTGCACCCACCTGTCGATTTTGGCGCATAGTCCCCGTAGCCCACAGTCGTCATAGTCACCAGGGCCAACCAAATGGAGTGCGGGAGGCTGGGGATGTTGTCCCTGTCCGTGCGCAGGGGCAGTGGACATTCAAGTCATGATAAGATGCTGTACTAGGGTAAGGAACCCTGCATTGCATCACTTCGCCCCTAGTTGCAATGGTAAACAAGCTTTAGGCGGGCACATCAACAAAACCTGAAGCCCACATGTGCATTGTGTCTGAGATATCCGATCTGAGCAGAGGCCTACATCCATGACAGAACAACTTTAGTGGCGCGCCGTCCTAAAATTCTACACCATACTCTGTCCGGGGTCTCCGGCGCCAACCGCCGGGCGAAAGTCACTTCAAGTTTGCGCACGCATTACTGCAAGCACTTTACGCCGCCTGCATTGACATATCCCTCTGACAGTAGTTTCCTCGTGTCCACACTTCTGTGGCTTGTGCGGCATCTGCCCAGGCTCGCAGGCATCTCTCGTTCTTAAAAACGGAAAATCGATTTTCGTCTCCTCAAAACCCCACAGCAGGAGGCCTGGACTCTACGAGGTAGATGGCAGAGGAGCTCAGCAGAGTGATCACAGCCATGGTGTAGAAGAGCACCGGTAGTGCGGCGATGGAGTTCTTCCTCGAAGGTCTAAGTTCAGGGTCGTGTTAATTTTTTGGGGTGGTTCTGAATGGAGGCAAAACCAAAAGCTCTGGTGGACAGTGCCGGCGATCGTATAGTTCAATCAGACTGGCAGACAGTTCTGGGCCCCACAAGTGCTAGAGTTCACTACCAGGACCACAACTGCAGCATAGCAAAACCTTGATCAAGACACCCTTCCTCTATGATGTCCCTGAACCACCCGTGCCCAGGTTGAGGGACTCTCGCTACTTCAGGGCACTAACAAGGAGCCATAATTCAGGACTGTCCGGCTTCTGTCTTGCGTGAAGGCTGCCCTGAAACTGATGTGCCAAGACACCCTGCATCCACCAGCAAGTGGAAGGACTCGAAATACCTGCTTCTCTTCGGCTCGAAGCGGGAGTGCGAGCTTGATTGATCGCTGTGGCTTTGGGAAAACGGCAGATCCGCAAATGCCGGGGCTCGAAGAGAAACAGCATGCACGCAGTCGACATACAGTTTTCATGGGGATGAATTTCTCACCCTTGTCGGTGGCATGATTACTGGAGTACGTGTGCCAGGAAGCTTTGCACAGAGATGCACTGTCACCCCCCACAGACTGCTACCGTTGTCCTTCAGCTCCGCAACATATCTCATTGCTGAATCCTACCCCCATGGCAGTCAACCCTGCCTCCAAAAATGTCCCTAAGCCCTTGAATTGAGCCCGGCTGGGACCGAGACCATATGATGGAAAGAGCAACACCGAGTGCTCAACTTGCGATGACCACGATTGAGACACTCTGCTAAAGCTGGCGAAGATGCGCAACGCAGAACCTAAAAACACTCGAACCCTCGGACCAAAACCCTTTTTTGAGCCGCTGCTGTGCAAAACCTCAAACCCCAAAACCGAAAAAAAAACACCACAACCCCAAACAGCCCCAAGAGGAACACTTCTGGAGCTCAGGGCCTGACCTCAGCAGCTTCAAGAAGCGGAAGATGGGAAGGAAGAGAAGCCTCGGGACCGGCGATGGCAGGGGGGCTCCCCTGTAATGTAGTGGTTTTGGGGCACACCGTGGCACAGCTGTGTATGTATGTATGTATGTATGTATGTATGTATGTATGTATGCATATATATATATATAGAGAGAGAGAGATAGAGATATAGATAGTATGTATATAAATAAATAAATATATATATTTATTTATTTATTTATTTATTTATTATTTATATGTGTGTATTAATGTATATATATATACATGTGTGTATGTGTATATATATATACACAACAAGGTTCAAACCTATAGTCATACAGCCATACATATACACAGAAAATATGCAAGGGGAAGATTGCGGGATCATACGACAGCTGAGTTCCCGATCTCTACAAAGCGTCAGGGTTATCGATGGCATCGGCTCCACGATCGACGCGATGTGGGTTCAGGGCTTTGGTGGTCTAAGCTCTGTTTGTGGACATTTTCAAACGGGTAGGGCTTAGGGCTTGGAAGGTAGGAATGTGGCTTAAAGGGTTTGAGGTGCAGGGCCTCATGATACAGTAGGGTTTAGGTCGGGGTGAAGATACAGTTTGGGACTTTAGACTCTTGGATGCCAGACGGTGTTCCAGGTCGAATGTGGTCACAGACACAAGAACTATGTCACCTGCAGCCCATAAGAAAGATCATGATTTTCCACTGGCATGATCGGGCGAGGACTCATCCTCGAGCAAGCAGGTGCCCACCCGACACAAGCGACAGTATCACCGATGCTTGCGCATGATGTTGGTCGACTCACGGGCAGTACTTAAATGTGAACCGGGGTGCAGGAGCACCTGCTGCACGGTCGGCGCCTGCAGCAGTACATGGAGTGTTCGGGTGCTCACTGCTGTAAAGGATTCGCTCGATAGTGTGGGCAGGACCTACTAGTAGAACGAAGAAAGTCCTTGAAATCTCGTAAATTCCCCCCAAAACCTGGCAACCGAGTGTCTGAGCCCTAAACTGCTATGGTGGCCTAAACCCTAAACCCTTAAACCCGAAACCCCCCTAAACCGCTATGGTGGCCTCCAGTGAAGACAGCGGCTGGAGCACGAAGCCCACGCTCGCACGCAAGGGCAACCCCAACGCAGCGAGCCTGGGGACGTCGGGTCGGAAGCAAGCTGTTTGAGATTTGCGAAGGTTTAGGGTTTAGGGGTTTAGGGTTTAGGGCTTCAGGGGGTTTAGGGGTTTAGGGTTTAGGGGTTTAGGGTTTAGGGTTTCGGCACTCACACTCTGACAAGCCTGGGCGAGGTTACTGGTACGTGGTGAAAGCTCATTGGCCTGCTAGGCACATAGGGTTTAGGGTTTAGGGCAAAGGGGCTCATTACCGGGGGGGGTTTGGCCTCAGCGGAATCTTCACGAAAACTCTGGGGTGTTCAGGGTCTTCCGTGGGGTCCTGATGAGGCTGATTAGGCTTCCTACTTGTAGAACTCGAAGTGGAGTCCTAGAGCTTCAAAATCAAAGCTGTTCAGCCGAAACAGAGAAACCTGGAAGGGCTTGCGGGCAAGACTAGAGCCAAGAAAATCACACGTTGTCCGTCAATGCAGTCACAATGGATTCTTCCGCTTGCGGGAGATCTCTCCTCACCCTGAACACTGAACTTAACCCTCTCTTCGAGTCCGACGCTTTGGCTCAGGGATTCAGGCAAGCGCGCCCGCCCCCCCCAGTAGTACTGACTCTCGCAGACAAGTATGTCAATGTTTGTCGGCGAGATTCGCTAGAGTCAAGTGCTGTTGTCAAAAGGCAAGCTCGCAAACAATGGGCAAGAAGGGACAACAAATTCCTGCTAATGCCTGTCGCTGTGACGATCAAAACCCTGACAAACTGCACAATGGCAAGAGACTCCAAACAAACGTAGAGGCGTAGTGTCACTCCACGTTGAATTTGGAAGCTTGGTTGGAGAGCATGCCTAAACACAAATTCTTGGTTGGGGCTTTGGCAAAGTACTCCGAGCTGCCCATTCAGGGAAAACAAAACAGGAATCGAAAACACGCACAGACTGGGGACTTCAGCCTCTCCAGATGAAGACCTCAAAGCTTATATCCAGGCAATCCAAGGAGCATATCACACCAATTGAAGGGATCTTGGACGTAGATTCTCCTGGCAGTATAGTATTGACTTGAAGGGTTCACCGGCCGTGAACAACGATTCGATCAGGAAGCGTGTGCTTAGACTTTCTCCAAGTACGAAGACACATTGGAGAGGCGGAGCCAAACTTGCCGCCAGCAGAATTCCCGTGACTCAAAAAACACCACCAACAACACTGAAACCAGTCCTAACAAGCCCCCAACACCTCATTTCAGGGTTTAGGGGTTTAGGGTTTCAGCACTCACACTCGGACTTGCCTAGGCGAGGTGTTTAGGGTTTAGGGTATAGGGTTCAGGGGTTCAGGGTCTATGGTTCAGGGGTTTAGGGGTTCAGGGGTTTAAGCTTGAATGTCTGAATCCGACGTCCCAGGTGCTTGGACGGGGAGGAGATGCATCGGCACAGGAACCTCAGGTGGAGGAGGTCTTCAAGTCCTGGATTTCGAGCTTTCGGTAAGTTCTCCCCCCCCAAGACCCGAACGCCACATAACATCCGACAACCCCATACCCCTAACAATCCCGAACCCCGGCACCCTGAATTTTGACTGGCCTGAAACTCGAAACCTTCAATGCTCGAAAGCCTCGCAGGCTACAGATTGCAGGACAAGCGCGTGCATGTTGTGTTGCATATAAACTCAGTGCGCGTATGTACCAATGAACCGGGACCAAGAAGTAGCTCTTCAGATCACTTCCAGGCCTCTGCATGCACAACCCGAAGCCCTATGCCCGATAAGATGGCGCCGAACCCTAAGGCCCTGAGGCCCTGAACCCTATCTGCATATATATATATATATACATATACATATATATATATACACACACACATATATATATATATTATAACCCAAAACCTCTGGTTGAGCCCTAATGCTCCAACCTGCACACTTTTGCGCTGCACTGAAGCCCGGAAACAGGACTCTAAGACCTTGAACTTCGAATTTGCTGTTCCGACACCAGCACGCCCCAAGAACATCCCAAGCCTTGAGCCCTAGAGCATCTGAGCAAAACTTGCCGGGAGCCGTAAGCAGTAAGTTCATTGACAACACCGACTCGGCAGATGAACAGGCTACCGGTCGCTGATCCCTCTCCCCGGGATTTGGGGCGCGTGTCGAACTAAGACCAGAAGATACTAGGGACCTTGACCCGAAACCAACTCTTTGGGCTCAGGAGCTCCATCACGAAGATCACGTCAAAGCAGGTCTCCTGGTCGGGACGGCTGCGTGTCAGGCTTTCGGGCTTTCGGCACGGACTCTCACACACTACAAGCGAGACATGTTGGGCTTCTAGTCTAGGGTTCAGGACTTTATAGTTCAGTAAACACCCAAAGTCTCCAGCACAGCCGAGGTGGACACGTCCACAAGCGGCTCTTGTGTCGTTACCAGCATGGAGAGGACGACGCTGACCAGTACCAAGACCTTCCTCAGTGTCGACTCTCAAAAGGCGCACAAGGCAGGCCAGGCTTGACACGACTTTGCTCCAAAACTACATCCTTGGTTTTAGGGCGTTTACACACTGGTCTCATCTACACCGTCGTGCGGAAAACATGGATGAAAACAACAGACTCAGCCTCCGCAAAGTGCTCGCAACAGCAGCAGCAGCAGCAGGCGCAGGAGGAGTAGCAGAACAAGAAGTAGAAGTCGTCGTCAGTGTCGTCACAATCGTCGCCGCAGTAGTAGTCGTCGTAGTTTGTCTTGGTCGTCGTCGTCGTCGTAGCCATCGTCTCGTAATCGTCGTAATAGCAGCAGCTGCAGCAGGAAGAGTGGCAGTAATGGCAAACAAGCTGTTCGAGGAGTTCTGCTGCAAAGCCACTGGCAGATTCCTATTCCATTGCCAAGATGCAAGAACTGCGACACCGCCCAAGCCGCCATGCTCGAATCCGGGTCGTCCAACCTCGAGCCGGGCCATGGATGCAACTATGGCACTCCATGACACACGCTTCGGCAAGCGGCGTGGGAATATGGTCCGAATGAACACGATAGCTAGCTCAAAACTATATATACTCATGGATTCAAGCAGGATGCAGCGAGCCGTTGCTTTGATCATCAGGGGGGCTTGACGCAAGTTCCGTGTAAACCCTACCTAAGCCTACCGTCATGTTTCAAATACTTTTGAGCCAGAGCATCATCTCCCAAAGGTGATCGCAACGACTGCGATAGATCAGGCGCATGATGGGACGTGTTTCCTGAGCTTGGCATTTGAGAATTCAGGTTTGCGGTTTGGGGTGCAGGGAACGGGGTGACAAACCGCGAGGAACAATGTGCATTGGGCCTGCTCTGCACCCTGATGCTGGGTGATCAGCTGGATGTATGGTTCGAGGTCTACTTTCCTGTGCTTGCTACCAACTACTCAGCGACTGCTGCTACAGTATGATGCTTTCATACATGAAGATGGGCCTACCTGAGTTCCCATGTCCAAGCCCTATCCTCAGCGAAGCTGAACGATCACGGCGAACTCTAAACCTCGAGCATGCATCATGTTGACGGAGCTCAAAGCCGTAAGATCGGCATTCCGAACCCTCACAGGCTTTGACCTCTGTTATCGCGGAGCTGAGATGCTTCATCTGCTGCGGCTTGCCTGGAAATCTGCGACATAACTGAGGCTCGGAGATTGGGGAGCACCTGCTACCACTACTACTACTGCCTATTGCTGCTGCTGCCGCTACTACTCCTACTGCTACTGCTTCTGCTGCTGCTGCTGCTGCTGCCGCTGCTGCCGCTGCTGCTGCTGATGCTGCTGCTGCTGCGACTACTACGACGACGACGACTA